GGGGCCTGCCCCACTTCTCAGACCAATGACCTGTGTCAGGAGTTCATCCCCAGTAAAGTGTCTCTAGGCCCTGAATATGCTTTTCGTGTTACTTGGGGGTATCTCAGGGGAAGCAACCAGTGAAAGCTCCAGGAAACAAAATACAGAGCACAGTGAGCCACCTGATTCTAAAGAGCAAGTTTGGAATCTTTCGGGAGCTACCCACAGGGCAGGCATGCCTCAGGCCCCTCGCTGGCTTCCTGGCTCCCACATGGGCAAGAAGCAGGCACCACCTCATAGAGGATGCCATCTCACTGCCACCCCTAGGGAGTGCCCTTCCCCAGTCCAAGCCAAGGACCAAGGAGCTGTGGTCCTAGTCGTCCCCAACAGCAGCCTGCTCCTGTCCCCTTCCTGTCCTCCTGCCTAGTCCCCATCACTCAACCACTCAGGAATGAGTACACAACCACAGGCCCCACAGCTGCCTTTGGGCCTCACTTGGCTCTCCCACCCCCACTGAACCTGGGATAAAGTTCACTGAAGAGAAAATAAAGCACATTTATTAAGGCAAAGGCCAAGCTGGCCGCTCAGAACATGGCCAAGGAGCATGAAGGGATTGCTCCAACTTCACCACCACTCAGGGCAGTTGGTCCGAGGGGTTCTGGGCCCACCCCAGGCCAGCAGAAGCTATGAAGCTTATGCATAAGCCTGGCTCTCCCTCTTCACGAAGGCCTGGAAGAGGCTGCCCAGCTCCTGGAGGGATGGGGCCCACTCACTGGCCAGCAGCCCCTGTGTGGCCTTGAGGCCTTCCTGCTCCAGATCCTGCTGTTTCTTCTGGAGCTGCTGCCCTCGATCCTGCCCCAAGGGAAAGCTGAGATGAGTCTGTCCAGGACAGGCTTCCCGCCAGGTGAAGGGGGGACTGTGTACCACCTCACACAAGCAGGAGAAAGGAGAGACCCCCCAACATTCCCCAAAGGCAGTTGCTGGCTTTGAAGGGAGGAACTCCTCTCCCCAGCTCTGGAATCTCTTCCACTCCCAGTTTCCCTCATATTTCCAGAGTTTCACTGGGAGTGGGAGGTCTGTCATCACCTCAGGTTAGCCCCTACTCCCTGGGGGATACCTGATCACTCTCCATCAGCCCCAGGGCTGCCTGGTGTCCACGATAGAGGGTGTGCCGGCGATCTACCCGAGTCTGGAATCGGGGCAGGGTCCGAACAGGGTCCTGTGCTCCAAAAGTGGGGGACAGCACCTGGGGGGCCTGGGCCACCCCCACCCCAAAGATGAAAGGTTTGAACACAGACCTAGAAGGGCACGGATGGAAGGACGGAGATATATCATATCCTCTCTTCTCCCCAGCCTTCCCCATCCTCGTTCTTCCCACCTGGATGGGTCTGGCGTGGCAGTAAGAAAGTGCACGCAGGGCTGTGTGGGATCCTGGGGCAGGACAGACACCATGCTGGCCGTGGTGCGAAAGCCTCCCGAGTCCATGCAGATACCACTCTCCTTGTCCCTGAGGATGCCCATCATCACCTCTGCTGTGATGCCCCCTGCCAAGGAGTAGAGGGGGAAGCTGTGGGAGGGCAGAGTGGCTGGCACTGCTGTGGCCCTCCTGGCCCCCAGCCCCCTCCACCACTCACTAACCTTGCCATTGCTGCAGCAGCTCCTGCCCTGCCCGGAAGCGGGCCTTGGCAGCCTCCATTCGCACAGGCTGCTGGGTCAGGGAGAAGACCTGAGCAAAGTCAAAGGCACCCTGCCCATCCCACCAGCCCTTGGCCTGGGCATGAGTCCGCAGCTCCGGGTGTTGGACCGAGATGTCCGTGCCAATGCTCAGCTGGTTGGAGATGTTGCGGGCCCCCTCTATGGAGGAGATGGGGGAGCGGTTCATTTACCATTGAGTGTCTATTCTATGCCAGGCACTGGGCAAGACGCTGAGAACATGGTGGAAAAGAGAACGACCTACCCTCATGGAGCCTACAGTGTGGTGGGGGAGGCAGACAAAATAGTCGCAGAGATAAATGTAAGCATGCAACTGTGTTGAATGCGATGAAAAAGAAGTACCTGCTTGCACATAAGCAGGAAACCTGACCACCCAGGGAAGTCCAGGAAGGCTTCCGAGAGGAAGCAGCAGGCTGTAGCACAAGGAAGACTTAACCGAGTGAAGGGGAGAAGGGTTCCCAAGTGAGCTCATCTCCCATCTCCCTGAATGTCCCGACAGGCTTGCACCTGGATCGGGCCCCTACCATTTCTCCCACTTCCCAAGGCTGGCAGAAAGGGAATGCCTCACCCTGGATCCTCTGTGCAGCCCAGAGCCTGCCAGCTGTCTCCAGCACCCATGCCTCTGTGCGGTCAGCCAGCAGGAAGGTGTTGTGGTAGGAGAATGGCGCAGGGTCCTCCAGGCAGCTGCCCCCCTGCCCATAGCGCTCCAGTAAGCCTGTGATCACATGCAAGGCCTCCTGGGCAGAGCTGCTCCGTTCCAAAGCCAGCCTGGCAAGAGAGAGGACCAAGGGACAGAAGGGTGACAGAGGGATCAATGGCTGGTGGCAGAAGCTCCAGGGGACAGAAGAGGCCTGGAGAGGTTTGGTGATAGGCCCAAATCACACAGCAAATCTGCTGGCACTGATCGTATCAAACACAATTACACCAGTGGCTTTCAATGCTCTCGTTCCATGTGCTATGCTTTGAGGGTTCCATGAAAAGGCCTGAAACACTGTTTCAGAGAGAAAAGTGTCCTGAGCCCCCAACCTCTCTCCACCCATAGCTGCTCCATCCACTATTACTGGTTTTATAAATCGGGACTCGATGTGAGATTTCAACTGAAAATAAATAACCACTGCTCTATTTCTGGGCCAGGAGAGGCCCAAAAGTGGCTGCTGTTGCAGCCTTCCTCACGAGGGCACGAGGGCAAAGTCTGCAGAGAGGAGGAGGCCCCTGTGAACCAGGCTGGGGGAGGAATGGATGGGCCCAGGTCAAAACTCAGCCCCCAGATTTCTGGTGTTTCAGGCAGATGAGGAAGGGCAGGGTCTGCACCTGAGCAGGTCCATGCCCAGCAGGGCTTCCCCCTCCCCAACTGGCTCCTTCGTCCACACAGCCTCGTTGCCAATGCAGACACCATGCTCGTTGGCGCCCATCTCAGCCCCCCATAGCCAAGAAGGACGGCTCAGAATCACAGCGTGCGTCTTCGACACCTGTTCCACTTCAATGTATGTGCACTGGAGGTGAGGGAGGAGAAAGGAAGTGTCCACTCAGAGAGGGGCGGCCCCTCGAGTGCTGGCACTCTGCCAATCACCTTATAGATCCCTTTGAGGAATGTCTCATTCCCATTTTATAGAAGAGGAAACTGAGGTAGACTGAGGCTACATAATGGGCTCAGGTCCAGGTTGGTAGGCTTAAAGCTCATGCTCTTCAACTACTTCTGGCAGCCTCCCAGGTGTGGGGAGCAGGGGAAAAGGTCTTAGAAGAATGCAGAGCTCTGTCACACCTCCCAGCACCCCATAAGGCCTAACCCACCTGGAGCCTGCTCCCAGGAGTGTGAGAGCCTGCGGGGACAAACACCACCTCCTGCACCTCGTCCCGGGGTCGGTCCGAGTTCTTGGCAAAGATCACAGCTGGGATGGCTGAGGCCGGGGGCACAGAGACAAAGCAGTCGCAGGAACATGGAGAGTCAGGGCTCCACGATGCCATCTGGGGAGAGGCGGGCCTCTCCATAAACCTGGCCACAGCTCAGCCCCGGGGAGCCGCCTACCCCCACACGTGTAAACGACGCGCAAGGAAGACACCGCCGTGGCTCCTGGACGCTCGGCGCACACACCATGCACGGGTGTGCGGGAGCAGAGGTGCCCACCCTCTCCCCAGGCTCCAGGCTTGGGAGTCCGCAGGCGGGCACTCCGAGGATCCCGCCCCCACTGGGAGTTCCGGCCCTTGGGAGCAGTCGTGGGACCGTTCCCCTCGCTACCCCACCAAGAGTCCCGCGGCCCTGCGCATGTCCAGATACCCGACCCTCTTCTATCCAACCCTTCTCTCACCCCCAATACTGTATTCCCCTCACTCTCTCTCCCTCCAAGACCCCAGCTCGGTCCCGGGTGCCACCTCCTCCGCTTCTGGCCAGGGCCGCCCCATTGGGCGGAGACTCCCAGGCGACCTGGAAGGCCTTCGGCCTCCGGGTCGGAGCCGGAAAGGAGCGTGCAGCTCTGCCGTTTTCCACCAGGGCGCGCGCCTGCACCACTTCCCGGAGCGGAGCGGCCTTGCGAGCCACACCTGGCTTCCTGCCCTACCCGGGCGCCCATTTTAGGCCTGACAAAGGTTGCTAACCCTACGGAGTCACTGCGGGGAGCTGGAGCTAGGGGTGGAAAGGATCCCGCGTGAAAAGGGAGACTTTGTCAGAGAAGGGGGACTGCTGGGACATCTGGAGACTAAGGAAGAATCTCAGATACTTGAGTCCCGGTTTGAATCCCAGAGGCGCAATCCCAGGCTGGAGGCACCCAGGGGACTAAGATACAGAATACAAGAGTGGTGGAGGCTAGGTGCGGGGGGCTGGCCCCTGTAATCCCAGCACTCTGGGAGGCTGTGGTGGGAGGATCACTTGAACCCGGGAGTTCAAGACCAGCCTGGGTAACATAGCAAGACCTCGCCTCTACAGAAAATATTTTAAAATTAGCTGGGCGTGGTGTTGCGTGCCTGTAGTCCCAGCTGTTCAGAAGGCTGAGGTGGGAGGATCGCTTGAGCCAGATAGGTCGAGGCTGCGGTGAGCCAAGATCACACCACTGCACTCCAGCCGTGGTGACAGAGCAAGACCCTGTCTCTTAAAATAAATAAGGGAACAGGTGCACAAAACCCATCTGATCCCAGAGGGCCTATCTGTCCAATAGTGTTCCAACCCATAGGAAGATAGCTTTAAAAGCAAATTTAGAACTTTCTAGTTCAAAGATTTAGTGCCTTTACCTGTAGTGAAACTGAAACCACAAAGAAGTCGTGGCCAAAGGTGACACACAGTCATATGGGGGTATACTCCTGTCTCTTATACACATCTAGATGTGTATAAGAGACAGGCTGCCCCCCTGCCCATAGCGCTCCAGTAAGCCTGTGATCACATGCAAGGCCTCCTGGGCAGAGCTGCTCCGTTCCAAAGCCAGCCTGGCAAGAGAGAGGACCAAGGGACAGAAGGGTGACAGAGGGATCAATGGCTGGTGGCAGAAGCTCCAGGGGACAGAAGAGGCCTGGAGAGGTTTGGTGATAGGCCCAAGTCACACAGCAAATCTGCTGGCACTGATCGTATCAAACACAATTACACCAGTGGCTTTCAATGCTCTCGTTCCATGTGCTATGCTTTGAGGGTTCCATGAAAAGGCCTGAAACACTGTTTCAGAGAGAAAAGTGTCCTGAGCCCCCAACCTCTCTCCACCCATAGCTGCTCCATCCACTATTACTGGTTTTATAAATCGGGACTCGATGTGAGATTTCAACTGAAAATAAATAACCACTGCTCTATTTCTGGGCCAGGAGAGGCCCAAAGGTGGCTGCTGTTGCAGCCTTCCTCACGAGGGCACGAGGGCAAAGTCTGCAGAGAGGAGGAGGCCCCTGTGAACCAGGCTGGGGGAGGAATGGATGGGCCCAGGTCAAAACTCAGCCCCCAGATTTCTGGTGTTTCAGGCAGATGAGGAAGGGCAGGGTCTGCACCTGAGCAGGTCCATGCCCAGCAGGGCTTCCCCCTCCCCAACTGGCTCCTTCGTCCACACAGCCTCGTTGCCAATGCAGACACCATGCTCGTTGGCGCCCATCTCAGCCCCCCATAGCCAAGAAGGACGGCTCAGAATCACAGCGTGCGTCTTCGACACCTGTTCCACTTCAATGTATGTGCACTGGAGGTGAGGGAGGAGAAAGGAAGTGTCCACTCAGAGAGGGGCGGCCCCTCGAGTGCTGGCACTCTGCCAATCACCTTATAGATCCCTTTGAGGAATGTCTCATTCCCATTTTATAGAAGAGGAAACTGAGGTAGACTGAGGCTACATAATGGGCTCAGGTCCAGGTTGGTAGGCTTAAAGCTCATGCTCTTCAACTACTTCTGGCAGCCTCCCAGGTGTGGGGAGCAGGGGAAAAGGTCTTAGAAGAATGCAGAGCTCTGTCACACCTCCCAGCACCCCATAAGGCCTAACCCACCTGGAGCCTGCTCCCAGGAGTGTGAGAGCCTGCGGGGACAAACACCACCTCCTGCACCTCGTCCCGGGGTCGGTCCGAGTTCTTGGCAAAGATCACAGCTGGGATGGCTGAGGCCGGGGGCACAGAGACAAAGCAGTCGCAGGAACATGGAGAGTCAGGGCTCCACGATGCCATCTGGGGAGAGGCGGGCCTCTCCATAAACCTGGCCACAGCTCAGCCCCGGGGAGCCGCCTACCCCCACACGTGTAAACGACGCGCAAGGAAGACACCGCCGTGGCTCCTGGACGCTCGGCGCACACACCATGCACGGGTGTGCGGGAGCAGAGGTGCCCACCCTCTCCCCAGGCTCCAGGCTTGGGAGTCCGCAGGCGGGCACTCCGAGGATCCCGCCCCCACTGGGAGTTCCGGCCCTTGGGAGCAGTCGTGGGACCGTTCCCCTCGCTACCCCACCAAGAGTCCCGCGGCCCTGCGCATGTCCAGATACCCGACCCTCTTCTATCCAACCCTTCTCTCACCCCCAATACTGTATTCCCCTCACTCTCTCTCCCTCCAAGACCCCAGCTCGGTCCCGGGTGCCACCTCCTCCGCTTCTGGCCAGGGCCGCCCCATTGGGCGGAGACTCCCAGGCGACCTGGAAGGCCTTCGGCCTCCGGGTCGGAGCCGGAAAGGAGCGTGCAGCTCTGCCGTTTTCCACCAGGGCGCGCGCCTGCACCACTTCCCGGAGCGGAGCGGCCTTGCGAGCCACACCTGGCTTCCTGCCCTACCCGGGCGCCCATTTTAGGCCTGACAAAGGTTGCTAACCCTACGGAGTCACTGCGGGGAGCTGGAGCTAGGGGTGGAAAGGATCCCGCGTGAAAAGGGAGACTTTGTCAGAGAAGGGGGACTGCTGGGACATCTGGAGACTAAGGAAGAATCTCAGATACTTGAGTCCCGGTTTGAATCCCAGAGGCGCAATCCCAGGCTGGAGGCACCCAGGGGACTAAGATACAGAATACAAGAGTGGTGGAGGCTAGGTGCGGGGGGCTGGCCCCTGTAATCCCAGCACTCTGGGAGGCTGTGGTGGGAGGATCACTTGAACCCGGGAGTTCAAGACCAGCCTGGGTAACATAGCAAGACCTCGCCTCTACAGAAAATATTTTAAAATTAGCTGGGCGTGGTGTTGCGTGCCTGTAGTCCCAGCTGTTCAGAAGGCTGAGGTGGGAGGATCGCTTGAGCCAGATAGGTCGAGGCTGCGGTGAGCCAAGATCACACCACTGCACTCCATCCGTGGTGACAGAGCAAGACCCTGTCTCTTAAAATAAATAAGGGAACAGGTGCACAAAACCCATCTGATCCCAGAGGGCCTATCTGTCCAATAGTGTTCCAACCCATAGGAAGATAGCTTTAAAAGCAAATTTAGAACTTTCTAGTTCAAAGATTTAGTGCCTTTACCTGTAGTGAAACTGAAACCACAAAGAAGTCGTGGCCAAAGGTGACACACAGTCATATGGGGGTATACTCTCACCCCAAATGTTTTGATTTTCAGTTCATTTTTCTCTACAAACCATCTCTCCATAGCCATCATTAAGACAAATGCATCTTACACCCTTTTGCTGTATGGAGCCCTCCAGGAATGGAGGGAGGAGAGATGCTGCAGGTTATCTGCTTTCAGGGGTTGCACTGAATCTATAGATGGTTTTGAGTAGTATGCACATTTTAGCAACAGTAATTCTTCCAATCTGTGAGCATGAAATATTTTTCCATGTCTTTGTGTCTTCTTCAGTTTCTTTTATCAATGTCTTATTTTCAGAGTACAGATCTTTCACCTCCTTGGTTAAATTTATTCCTAAATATTTTATTATTTTGATAGTTATTGTAAATGGGACTATTTTCTTGATTTATTTTTTGTATAGTTTGTTATTAGTGTATAGGAACACTACTGACTTTTGTACATTGACCTCATAGCCTCTGACTTTACTGTATTTGCTTAACAATTCTAACAGTGGGCCGGGCACAGTGGCTCACATCTGTAATCCCAGCACTTTGGGAGGCCAAGATGGGCGGATCACGTGAGGTTGGGAGTTCGAGACCAGCCTGGCTCACATGGAGAAACCCCATCTCTACTAAAAATACAAAATTAGCTGGGCGTGGTGGCACATGCCTGTAATCCCAGCTACTTGGGAAGACTGAGGCAGAAGAATTGCTTGAACCTGGGAGGCAGAGGTTGCGGTGAGCTGAGATCACACCATTGCACTCCAGCCCGGGCAACAAGAGCAAAACTCCGTCTTAAAAAAAAGAAAAGAAAAGAGAAGAATTCTAACAGTGTTTTAGTGGAGTTTGGTTTTCTTTCAAGCCTACTCTGCTAGGGTGCTGGCGGTCAGTCACGCTAGGATTAATGGGAAGGTGAAGGCTGCTTCTGATACAATGTCGCGGAGGGGTTGTGAGGTTGCCAATTAATGTCATTCCAGAAGCAAACATCAAGGCTGTGCGCTGACAAATCCGGGCACCCGAAGCAGCTTGCAGGAAAGCGGGTTCATCTCCTGCAGTTCCCCGGCTGCCCACTGTGGGGCGGCAACAGGCAGGAGGAGACGCAGAGAGAGGCCACAGCGCACCCCCAGGTTGCAGTTCCCAGGCTGTCTTCTTCTCTGTCACTTTCTCGTTTATTTCATTCACCCACCCTAGAGGGTGGGAGTAGATTCTACTTCCACTTCCCAGGAGAGGAACCTAGAGAGCCAGCCCAGATATTCTGAGTTCCCTAACCCATTCCTGGGCCCTCCATGATCCTCCTGCCAGGCACCCCATCTGAGGAGGGTCAGAGGTGGCCTTGGGCTCCGTTGGGGTTGGGGGGGGCAGGCCAGCCAGGCAGCATTTGCAGCAAACAAGCAAGCGTCAGAGCCCCACCAAAGGCCCCTGCTAAGAATGCAGGTCAGCGGGAGGAGCAGCATGGGGAGGAGGGGTGGCCCCAGCCCTGCCCAGACAGGCCCAGCCAGCCCCACAGCTGCCCTCCTGTCCCTGGGGGCAGCGATGGGGGTAAAGGAGGAGGGGACTCACCAAGTTCCTGGGGTCTAACTCTCCTAGAATCAGGAAGACAAAAGAGGCACCTGGAGGAGTGGGGCTGGCATGAGGTCTCAGGAAAACACACCTGTCCTTCCTCCTCCCAGCCTTCTAAATCCAGCAGCAGATGGAAACAAACAATTGGCCCCCAAACCAGTCTGGTTTCCTCTACAACCCCTAAATCATTCATTCTGATGCCCCTATCCTAAGGTAGCCATAAACGTTGTGACCCCAGGATCTCCCAAATTAAGTTATGGGATGGGCCAGCCTGAGTACCAGATTTAGGTTTGAGAAATTGGATTAGGGTTAGAATGGTGGATCTAGAAATTCCTCTAGGGGAAAATAATAAATTTGGCAAAAAGGTAGAATAAGAAGGTGAAAGAACACAGTAACCCCCGCCCCCAGCCCCCTTGGAGCCCAAAACCTATCTTCTGTCAACCTTCCTAACTTTGGGGCTCTGGAATCATGAGGTTTTTTACTCATTTGATGTGAATTAGGCATCAACTTTGTATCAAGCACCGGGAGACCTGGGAAGATGTATATAGATGAATATTTCTGCATATCTCTGCGGGCGGGTGCACGCGGGTCCGGTGCAGGTATGTTTGTGTGCCCTGTGGTTGTGTAACCATGGTGGGTCTCTAGCTGTGAGTTGCAGTAGGAGCCTTTCCCTCATATTTTCCAGCTGGGCGGGAGCCCATCAGATAGCTCGGCTGCCTTTCATCGCCTTGTCCCTGATAAGGATCATCCTGGGTGAAGAAATCATTGCCAGTCACCCCCAGCTCAGTCACAGCCACGGGATAGACTGACATGCACCCTCCGTGGGGATGGAGTGAGGGAGCCAATGCCTAAGAAAGGAGGGAACCAGTGTTCTTAGCAGGGGAAGTGAAAGAAGGGGCTTGTATGTGGAGGAGGAAAGAGATATCTAGAAACTTCTTATAACCACAGGTGAGACCAGGGAGGGACAGCCCCGGTATCAACCCAGAGGAAGCACCTCCCTCCTTCCGTACCAGCCACCTCTGGGGCAGGATCAGATCCCAGCTCCAACCCAACTCAATAGACATGAGGCTTTCCAAGGGGCTGCAGGATCATTGGGAAGCATCCACCCCACTCTGTGGCCCAGAACTGGTCCTCACTGCTGGGGGACACTGAGTCCAAAAGGAAACAGAGCTGGAACACAAAGGAAGCATGATGTAGTTGATGACTTTATTGCATAAAAATCACAGGCTGTTTCTCCCTCCTCCTACCCCCTCAAAGTGAGTTCACAGCAGTTAAAGAAAAAATAAATTCCTACATTTTTCCTCTAGGGGGGCTGCCTAGAAAGACAGGCAGCCAAGCAGCCTAGATCTATAAAAGAGGGGAGCAGAAGAAAACCTAACCAAAGTCTCTACCCGCATACCTCAGAGCTTGGGGCTTCCATTGGGGGGAGCATCTGTGTCCACCACCAACACCCATTTGGGAGTTCCCCTTAGGATGGCCACTGGAAAAGGCTGTCTTGGTGGCACAGGGAGGGGGTGGCTGGTTTCGATGGGTGGAGGAGAAAGGCATCCTACACCCACAGTGCCCTTCCTCTCTCCCCCTCTTCACCTGGCCAGGCAACTTGCAGGCACTGCCAACTCTCCTTCTGCCCCCAACCCTCTCAGCAAGGAAGGGGATCTCTGGTTGGGTTAGCAGGAGGTAGGGAAAAGAGAAAGAAAGAACATTACTTCTTAAACTACCCCAGGCCAGTGAGTCCCTCCGGAAGGTCATCCTGTCCCTTTTAAGGAGGCTCCCTTTGTATACAAACACATATTCCCACCCAGATCCCAGCCCCCACTTCCCATATAGCTCCCAGACCTTGGACTGGGCTCCAGCATCTACAAGGGAGGAAGAGATGCTCGGCCCAGATCCCAGGATCTTGGACATGGTGAATAAGATGGGGTCTCCCTGGCTGGAGACCCCAGGCTCAGTAGAGAAACACACACACATGCACACAGGTACACACAACATGCACACACATAACCTAATATTAAATAAAATACCCTTTGCTTATAACTTAAAAATCAATACAGAGCTAATCTCCACAGAGGGCTCCAGGTGAAGAAAGGGAGCAAGGGGAAGCGGGAGGGGTGTCAGAGGGACTCTAAGGCCCCTCTCTCAAGCGTGGGAAAGTCCTCCAGCTACAGAGGCTGTGGCCTGCCAGACCCTTCCTCATATCAGCTTCTTTCCCCTCTGCCTGGCTCAGCCTCTGCTGGGCTTCTCCCCTCCCTCCCTTCCTTTCTCCCCCACCCCATGATCAGAATCAAAATGTAGTTCTAACATCTAAAGGAGAAGGGAATGGGGACAGGTTCCTGGATGTCACCTCAGAAGGCAGAACCCCTTCCAGTGGGAGAACAACTCTTTCTTCTCCCTTCCCCTGTGAGATGAGCGGGAGGAAGGAATCCCCCAATGAACATGCTATGGCAGGGGCAAGGGAAAAACAAGGGCCAAGCTAGAGGGACAGTGGGGTTTGGTTTCTTGGTGACGGCTAAAGAGATG